TACTAATAAAATATGTAAATAATTACAAATTAAATTTAATTTTAGGTTTTTTAATTTTCCATACGTTAATCAAGGATGAAATGATAAAAAAGGAAAACGCCATAATTAATGAAATTATTGAAAAGACAGATTTCTATAATATGGATATTAGCATATTTGATATTATTCAAAATAATATTGAAGATATTCCTTTTTCTACAATACAGTTACTCGTATCTTACAATCTTCTACATATAATTGATGTTTTACTGTTTTGGTTCTATAAAATTATTTTATTTCTATTTATTGCTATTTTAGTTTGCGCAGTGGCTGTTTATTACTATTATGATAGCATTATAATACTGTAAGTAGATTTCTCTTGTCATTTATGTCAATAATTTTACATTTACAGTTACATTTGTATATATGTATAGTGAAATAATTTATAATTATATAGGAACAAATATTAGCAAAAATATAGTAAATTAATTGTTTTATTAATTAATTTTTGTTGCATTTTTTTAGCTTACAAGGCAAAGCTAAAAAAATATTGTAGTTATGATTTCTATTATTTGTTTTAAAACTTTTTTACATCACATTATATGTACATATGTATACAGGGTGTTTCATTTTAATCTAGCCAGGCGAATATTTCAAACACTGTTGAGTTTAGAGAAAAATGTTTCAGACAAAAGTTGTAGGGTTCGGAGGGGGACACAAGATGGTGGGCTTGAGTTTTTAATGAAAGTAAAATTGAAGGTCATATAAAGGTCAACTTTGTTTTTTAAATGGAACACCCTATTTTTTATTCCAAAATCTAATAGCTGGTGTCAAGAGCTTTTCAAAACACCTTTTCAAAACACCTTTTACACCAATTGATTCGTCTCATTATTTTATGCATAAAAGTATTAAGGTAAGATTCCCAAAAAGTGAATGTTTTACAAGATATTTTGAATTTTATGTCAAAATACTGTAATTCACAAGCCTCATAACTCAAAAAATATTTAATGAAAAATAACTTCATTATAGTGTTTTGAAAAGCTCTTGACACCAGCTATTAGATTTTGGAATAAAAAATGGGGTGTTCCATTTAAAAAACAAAGTTGATCTTCATATGACCTTCAATTTTACCTTCATCAAAAACTTAAGCCCACCATCATGTGTCCCCCTCCGAACCCTACAACTTTTGTCTGAAACATTTTTCTCTAAACTGAACAGCGTTTGAAATATTCGCCTGGCTAGATTAAAATGAAACACCCTGTATATTAGGATGGGTTAAATGAAAACCTTAAATATTTTTTTCTTACTATTTATTGAATAAAAGTGGTTCACATCTGTATAATTTTTGTATGTAGTCTATTGCTATTCAATACAAGTTCTCCAGCGCTTAGTGCGCAAAGTGCATAGATTCCTGCAGAAAAAATTCTTTCGGTCGCGTGTGTAGCCACTCATGCCATGGAGGAGAGTCTGTTACAGAACTCACACTCTTTCGAAATTTCCTAGTCCATTTGTTGGAGTGACAGACATACACTACCATACTGCAACTTTATTCGACGATGAATGGAGGTTTCACTACTCAAAAACGGATGTACGAGTGGCTGCACACGCGATCGAAAGAATTTTTTCTACAGGAATCCATGCACTCTTTATGCACTAACCGTTGGGAGATTTGTATTGAACGCAATAAAAATTACATAGAAAAACTGTACAGATGTGGACCATTTTTGTTTAACAAATTGTGAAAAAAAAATATTTAAGATTTTTATTTGACTCACTCTAATAGATGATATATCTTACGTTTGTTTCAAATAAGAATAATTGGCATTATTTTTTAATAGGCCGTGAAGGACTATACTTTAATCAACGTCTATACATTTAAATCAACGTCTAATTCTAAACATCTAAAATCATGCATCTAAAATCTTGCAAATCAAATACAACAGCGAATTGGAGAAGAATCAATGTTAGTGTGTATATATATATATATATACACCAACATTGATATTATATATATATAATTGGTATGGAGGTTCTAAAATTGCTTCGGTATTGAGCTCGACCATCGGAAAAACTACAGGTACGTTTTATTCACGAATTTACTAATAATGATATTTTAAACTCATATATACAATATTTTCGCTATTTATCATATTTCTATAATGCATAAACACCTTATTTATCTTTGTTCTCGGCTCGAAGTCTCCTTGACGATGCATTACCAGCAATGCAAAACTTGTTTATAAGATTGGATACTTTTTTAGTGAACTTATTGCGTAAAAATGATAAGGAAAGTCACGGTAATATAACACATAAATAATGTTTTGATATTTTCACTGTTCCACTAATATTAATAATTACCAAATTAGTATATTATATGACAATTTTAGTTGCATATGACCATAAATGTTCAAAAAAATGCAAATTTCGTGAAAATATTTGTTTTTTGTTTAAATTTTTATTGTAATATTTTAATGTTTTAGTTCATTTATTCTTTTTTTAATTATTTTTTACGATACAAGTAATTACTTGCTAAATCCGATCGATGCCAATCCAACATTTAAAAAATAATCGCTAAACTAACAAATTGACATAAAAACACAAATTTTGGCATTTTTTTGACAAACATAATGAGTAAACTATTTTTTAACTAACTAATTAAATTTATTGTGTATTATTTAAGTTTAATTAGTTTTCAAAAAATTTAAATTATATCTCTCATTAAAAGCTAATGTTTTATTTCTGAAATATTATGGTAAATACGTGATTCTTTTTATTTTTTATTTTATTTTTTTATGACTTGTTTTCAGAGAAATTTGTATACAATGTGCAAATTTGATAAAAAAACATAAATTACACATAAATATGTGATGTTAGAAGTTTAACAATCTCGAAAACAAAATAAGAGACTATTAAATCAAGTAATACATATAATAAATTATTGTTCTTAATACAAAGAATCTTGAATCCTGTTTTAACGTATAATTGAGATAGAAAAGGATTGTGTATTCTTTTTGCTTTATTAAATAATTATTTGTTATTATAGATATTTTGATTATGATAATTTTGGTATTATAAATAATTATTGGTCATTAATGAGATGTAAGAACTATATTTGTTTTAAAAAAAATAGTCTGGATTCTTGTGGTCTTCTCAAGTATAAATTGTCATATAAAGATATTAATAGGTGTATAGAAATTGAAAGTACGCGCAAATATGCATAAAATACATTTAATTATATTAAAATATATAATTATATTAAAATATATTTAACTTAAATATAAATTTGATATAAGTTATATATAAATAAATGTAATATTTTTTCATGCATATTGCGGGTAAAAGATGTTGAAATTTGGTTATCATTCTACAATAAGCAATTTGTACACGACGAATATTTATATGTATTTGAAGAGAACAAATTATATATTATATTTTCATTGCTCTTTAATTTTTTAATTATTAATTGTTTTATTTCTGTAATAAAAATCGTATAATACAAACGCAATAAATATATAATATTAGAATAAAAAATAGTTTTCAACTTATTTTTGCCATTAAAACATATTGTTTGCTAAAAATAATAACGTGGAAGACTGTAATTATTCAAAATTGTACGTATGAGTATTATCAATTTGGGATATTAGAAGATAAGCAATTGTATTCACCGCAAAAGAACGACTGATGAAACTTGCTTTGTATATTATATATGTAAGTATAATTAAAATTATAGAATATACAAATATTGTAATTTACGACAGTAATATCTGACTAATTGTAAGATGTTGGAAACTATAAAAGAGAAATCTAAGTAACATCCACTAATTTCAAGAAATTTAAACATGCAGTGTCCAAAAAATAACTGAAAAGGAATATAATATTGCTTCATAATATCGAAATTTCTTTAAATGATAGCGTACACAAAATAGTGACGCAGATACTTAAGAATAAACAAGTTTGCAGCAAGGGTAACCAATAAAATTTATACAAATGGACGAATTAGGTTTAAGTACTTAATGTATATTATTTACTACGGATAGAACGTTCCTCATTGTGGTGTGGTGTCGTATAGATAATAAAGAAGAAGAGACAAACAACGCGAAGACAAGTGAATCTCAAACTGCCAAAGTAAACAAAATAATATTGTAAAAACGTTGATTTTTATATTATATGCATTAAATAATGCAAAAATTACTTACAAATATTTATTATATACGTTAGATTCGGTATACAATTTAATTGTAAGCTACAGCTGAATTACAATCGTTTTTTTGTAAAATCTTAGATATGTTAATTTTGTTTTTTTATATAATCATAAAATTGTTTCTCAATCCAGTTGTAGTTCAAAAATCAATTTTATTTATTATTGCACGTAGATATGAGTTCTATTTGATTAAAACGCAATCGCATTTTTGTTTCTATATTAAAAGAATTATATTATTGATTTGATTTATATGATTGATATATTGAATTATATAATTGATTTGAGGCAATTGAGACGGCATTGTGCAACACTAATAACTAGCAGTTGGCTACAAAAAACATCGATTAAGAAAAACAATAATATTCTAATAATGTTTTTGGAATTTAGTATATGCGCTTGTTCATTTGTATATACATATTATTGTACAATTATATTAACTGAAGAGTAAAATATAATTTATATGTAAGTGTAAATTATATATGAATGTGGACTGTGCATTTTGTGTACGTACACTATAATTTCAAAATTTGTAATATATATTTGTTGCAAAATATGAAAAAAATTTGTTTAAAAAAAAATAGTTTAGTCTGAATTTTTGTGGTTTTCTTAAGCATAAACTGTCATATAAAGATATTAATATATGGTATATAAAAATCGAAAGTACGCGCAAATATACATAAAAAACATTTAATTATATTAAAATATAAAATTATATTAAAATATATATAACTTAATTATAAGTTTGATATAAGTTATATATAAATGAATGTAAAATTTAATCCAAAAATATCAAATTAGATGGTCTAGAAAATTCAAATAAGGAGAACGTTGAAATGAAATAAACTCTTACATAGTTTCAAAATTCCTGCGAGAAGGAAAATACATGTACGGAAGTGGTGTGTTAGTATGTGAGACAGGAGCGTGTCAGAACGATTTCTCATGCGACAGTCAATACCACTTCTGCAAGCGAGTCGATTAGATTTCGTGTGTGTCTCTTGTAGGTCGTGAGCGCTCATCATTTCTAAACATACAGAGAACGCAGAGACGAGTATATCCCGTTTATAAGGTGAACAAACTGATATCGCAAAATCATTAATTTTTTAGTGAAGTCAATTGAATCGTCTTAATATCCTAGTTGCTCTGCAGAGTTTTTCTTTCGTTAGATTTATTTTTATAAATTTTGAAATTATTACGAGTTTTAGTGTATTGAATGCGATACATAATTTTGCAATTTATCGTTTGAAGTATATGAGAGACCAGATAGCGCCTAACGAGGCAATGATCGCCTAAGAATGAACAATTTTGTTCGACTAATATAACTAGTAGCATTTATTCAAGTGGAGCAATTAAGTTTAAGTAGTGTGTGTTTGTATTATGTTTATACGGGCGAAATTATTCTCACTGTGTCGTGGTGTGCTACAGAGAATAACGAAAGAGATAAGCAACACGAAGGCAGGAAAATCCTAAATTGATAAGAGAAGTAAAGTAATATTATTAATACATTGATTTTTATATTGACTTCATTGAATAATGGCTTAGTAAACTAGTGATTACACAGAGTTTTTTCTGCGCAATAATTAGTTTTTTTTAATATATTTTGGTATTGTTTTTGTAATACTTAATGTAATTATTGCAGGTACGCATGAATATTGCGAAACATTTTACTACATTTTTTAATAATTCTAATCGCGATAGTCTTTCATTTGAGATAAATACTCACAATGTAATCATGTATTATATGCGGTAGATATTCCTATACGATTTTAGCCAAATTGCAATCAACTTTTTTTTCTAGTATCTTTAGTTACAATATGTTATTATTTTTATCTGTTTGTTATATATAATGTAATCTCTCTATTAAGTGAGACTTCTCTGAAAGTAATCTAATCTCTAATGTCATCTCTCAATCCAGTCATAAAATGTTGAAAAATCAATCTCTAATTGTTTGTGCTTCTTTCTTATTTCTATTAAATAAATATTATTGCATTAAAATTTTCATATTCAAAATGATTATTTTATTGATTTCAGACAATTAAAACGCCATTGCTACATTAATACTTCTCAATTGGATGAAGCCGAAATCTATGATCGGAGTTTGATATTTTTGAAGAGATACGAGTTAAAGATTTTACAATATTTTGAAGGATGGCACTAAGAAAAAGTTTTGTTATTAACATAGTTCTACTTTTCGGTAATAATTGTCTTTGTGTCTACATTATAATTTAAAATGTTTACATGATAATGTAAATTATCATACGGTTTATTTGGTTCATTTTTCATATTACAAACTTGGAATAGGAAAAATAATATATTATATATTGTATATCTCGTGATCTGTGTTGAATCATTTTTTTATCTCTTTCAACATTAATCAAAAAGTAAAAAAAGTATAATTATGTAATAAGATTGAAAACTTTAATATTATAGTATTATTTATTAATACTAAAAAATATATAAGTTATAAATTAGAGAATTAAAATAATCTTTTATTAATGTATTTTTTTTGTTTCTGATTTGATTTAATGACGTTATTAAATTTAATTTTTTAATAGTTTTAATTATTATATTCAATAATCTAAATTTAATAATAATTTTTAACAAAACTGATGTAATATATCAGAATTTTTCAATTTTTAAACATTTACTTTTTAAACATAACATTTACTAATAAAATATGTAAATAATTACAAATTAAATTAAATTTTAGGTTTTTTAATTTTCCATATGTTCATCAAGTATGAAATGATAAAAAGGGAAAACGCCGTAATTGATGACATTATTAAAAAGACAGATTTATATAATAAGGATATTAGCATATTTGATAATATTCAAAATAATATCCAACATATTCCTTTATCTACAATGCAGTTATTCGAATCTTACAAACTTTTAAATACAATTGAGTTTTTACTGCTTTTGTTCTATAAAACTATTTTAGTACTATTTGTTACTATTATATCTTGTGCAGTGGTTGTTTATTACTGTTTGTAAGTATTTCTCTTATCATTTATGTCGATAATTTTACAATTACATTTAGTTACATTTGTGTATATACATATGTATAGTAAAATAATTTATAATTATATAGAAACAAATATTAGCAAAAATAGTAAATTAATTGTTTTATTAATTAATTTTTGTTGCATTTTTTTAGCTTGCAAGGCAAAGCTAAAAAAATAATTATTATTTCTATTATTTGTTTAAAAACTTTTGCACATTATATGTACATATATATTAGGGTGGGTTAAATGAAAACTTTAAATACTTTTTTTTCACAATTTATTGAACAAAAGTCGTTTACATCTGTATAATTTTTTAATGTAGTCTATTGCTATTCAATACAAGTCCTCTAGCGCTTATTGTTAGTGCGCAAAGTGCATGGATTCCTGCAGAAAATATTCTTTCGGTCGCGTGTGCAGCCACTCATGCCATGGAGGAGAGTCTGTTACAGAACTCACACCCTTTCGAAACTTCCTAGTCCATTCGTTGGAGTGACAGACATACATTACCATACTGCAACTTCATTCAACGATGAAAGAAGGTTTCATTACTCAAAAACGGATGTACGAGTGGCTGCACACGCAACCGAAAAAATTTTTTCTACAGGAATCCATGCATTTTTTATGTACTAACCGTTGGAAAATTTGTATTGAACGCAATAAAGACTACATAGAAAAACTGTACAGGTGTGGACCATTTTTGTTTAATAAATTGTGAGAAAAAAATATTTAAGATTTTTATTTGACTCACTCTAATAGATGATGTACACTTGTTTCAAATAAGAATAATTGGTATTATTTTTTAATAGGTAGAGGACTTTAATTGTAGAGGACTATACATTTAGATCAACGTCTAATTCTAAACATCTAAAATCATGCATCTAAAATCTTGCAAATCAAATACAACAGCGAATTTGAGAAGAATCATATATATATATAATTGGTACGGAAGCTTTCATATCTCTGGTATTGAGCTCGACAATCGGAAAAACTACAGGTACGTTTTATTCACAAATTTACCAATAATGATATTTTAAACTCATATATACAATATTTTCGCTATTTGTGATATTTCTATAGTGTATAAACGCCTTATTTAGCTTTGTTCTCGGCTTGAAGTCTCCTTGACGATGCATTACCAGCAATGCGAAACTTGTTTATAAGATTGGATACTTTTTTAGTGAACTTATTGCGTAAAAGTGATAAAAAAAGTCACGGTAATATAACACATAAATGATGTTTTAATATTTTCACTGTTCCACTAATATTATTAATTACCAAATTAGTGTATTATATGACAATTTTAGTTGCGTATGACCATAAATGTTCAAAAAATGCAAATTTCGTGAAAATATTTGTTTTTTGTTTAAATTTTAATTGTTAA